CTTTTTAAAGAGCAAAGCCCCTTTAAAAATGGGCTTTTAAAGCCACTTTTTTAAAAGGGGCTTTTCAAGGCCAGGTTGGATGGGGCATTGAGCAGCCTGGTCTAGTGGAAGGTGTCCCTGCCCATGGCAGGGGAGTGGAACAGGGTGAGTTTTAAGGTCCCTTCCAACCCAAACCAGTCTGGGATTCTGTGATATCAGACCTGGCAGATGGTGGGTGTAGTGAGACTGAACTTCTGTGCTGCTCAGTTGGGGTAGAGAAGGTGTTCAGCTGACCTGCAGTTGGTTAGGAATTCTCAAATAATCGTTTTTAACTTTATTCTAAGGGTGCTGATTGGGCCATTAACTTCACGGGTGTCCCTGTGTGTTGCTTTCTGAGGCTCATCTGAGCTTTGAAATGTTCTTGGGCTTCTGCCTTAAAAGTAGGATGCTGTGCTAGACTTTAGCAGTGCACTGGAGTGCAGAGACTCCTGATTTTCACTTTGCTGCTGGTGGTTTCCAGGATCCCTGGGCTCATCGCTTTTTACCTCCCTGTGTCCCCCTTTCCCTGGGGAATATTGGGAATGAGGATATTGCCTCCCTCCTGCCAGCACCTTGCAAAACGTGCTTGGTGTTGCTTCTCCCCTTGGGAAAGGAGCAAAAACCCCTGAGTGCATCTGCATCGCTGTGTCTCGGGCACTTGGGACGGAGATTTTTCCCGAGAGGTGCTCGGCGGCATCCAAAGGTCTCCCGGAGAGGAAACAACGTGTCCAGTCTTGCCTGTCCCGGCTGTTTGCTCCCTGCAGGCAGCCCCTGGCACAGGGCAGCGTGCCCAGTGCCACCAGGGCTCCTGGCCTGGGCATGCAGGGATGGACCAGGGCTTGCTTGTGCCTTGCCGTTCCTGGCGAGGTTCCTGCCTCTCCACGTGTTAAAATCCACGGCTGATTTTTGCCTCGTTGCAGAATGGTGGAGAATATCAGTTAAATCAGCTTCTCCCTCCCCAACCACCCACAGCAGTGCTGCTCCTGCCCCTCTGCATCCATGAGCAATGGGTTTGGGTGGCAGCTCTGGATCAGCTGGCAGAATTTGTTGGCTCTGGTGGAGCCATTTTTAGGCAAGATGTTTTTGCAAACAGTGTTTCATCACAAACCCCTGCTGTCAGTCACCTGTAGGCGAATGACTCTCCAAAAACCCAGCCCTAGATTGAAGGAAATGATAAGGAGTTCTGCTTGCCTTAAAACCTTTCTCTTCTTTTTTTTTTGGTCTCTTTATTTAATACAACGCTGGGTAAATAACGATTGGCCTCCCGTAGTGCAGAACGGGTGGGGAGGGTCAGCAAGTGACTCGAAAATGGTTTCACTTCTGCATTCGATGGCCAAGCCAGAGGTTTCCATCTGCACCCAGGACTGCCTGAGCCACATTCCTCCAGCCTGGGGAGGGTGGGAAGGTGGGTTCTCAAAGGTAGACATGCCCCTGAGCTGCTGTGGGAGCTGTGCCCTGGCTGGAGGGGATTCCTGGCCACTCCTTCAGTGATGGTGATGGACAGACCCTGCCGTCCTTCAGGGCCAGGTGGAAAGGCAGCTGGGATTACACACAGGGGACAGCTCTGATTTTCTGTAGGAATTACTGGAATAGGGTGAATTTTCCTGCAGCAGAGCCCAGCCATGAGCCCCAGCCTGGGGGAGGCTCCTCCTTGGCAGCCTTGCCCTGGCTGTGCAGCTGGAGATTGTCTTCTGTTGGCCAAAAGATATCAGGGCTTAAGCACTAATTTACATACCTGACTTATTGATGGCAGATATTTTAAGGATTGACTCAGTCCAGAAGCAGCACCTGAGCGGGGTGATGGCAAGGGATGGGGTGATGCATCTTTCCAGGAAGGTGTTTGAGACACCCAGGGCTGGAAACAGCTTTCCCACTGGAAAAGAAAGTGTGGGCGTTTTTAATTTGGTGTTTTAATTAAATGCTGGACCAGTTTGTGAGGAAGGAGAGAGTAAATTCTCCATCCCTTGGAGTCTTTAACGAGAGCAAGCAGCTCTCTGAAAGCCCTGCTGTCATTGCTGATCCAGCTGATCCACGCACAGGGACTCACCATGGGAGCCACCCCCTCCTGGCCACAGCAGGGTTGGAAAAGCCCCTCCCAGGGAGGCTGGGGGTCCATCCTGGGGCCACATCACCCCCATACCGTGGGATGGACCGTTATCCAGGCTGCTGTTCTCCAGGAACAGGCTGGTTACACACACAGCCCTTCCCCTCTCCAGCTCCTGTCAGCACCTCTGTTTAACTGCACTGTCACTTTTCTCCTGCTCTTTTCCAAGTGTTTCCTCTGACAGTTGCTTTTTATAATTGTGATTTTTTTTTTCCCCCCCTCCCTCTCTGTTGGTACCTGTTCCAGCCCTGGGGCTCTGAGCTCGGAAATGCATTTGCTGGGGTTTGCCCTGGCCTGTCTCCTACATCATCCCAGGGAGGATGGTGTGTGCATCCCTCTGGCATTTATTACTGGCTGCAGCCTGACTGAGCTCCTTCTGCTTCTTGAGTTCTTCTGCTCCAAAATTATCTGCCTAAAATAACAGAGCAGCAGTTGGGGGGAAGGATGCTCTGTCCATGGCACTGGGGGACAAGGTGGGGATGGGGCACAGGGTGGGCTCGATGGTCTTGGAGGTCTTTTCCAACCAAAATGATGCGGTGAAATTCAGTTTGATAGAGGCCAAGACTTGTCACTGTTTAATATCTCCTTGTTCCTATTCTCCTTTGCTGATACCACTAAGAGAACATGAGCTTTAGCCACTGCCTGCCTTCAGGTGGCCATTTGGGACACCCCAGTGCCCAACTTTAGAAGGTCTAGAGAAAATTATGCTCCCATCTGGCTTATCTCCTCTCTGAAGGGCTGACAGGCTGGATTTGCTTTCCAGTGCCCTCAGCTCGTCCCTGTTACCCTCCCTGAGCCCTGTAATGTCATGGTGGGAGCAGAAATGCCACCAGTGGAGTCTCAGAGGTCTCCTGGCTCAGGTGGAACTTCCTCTGTGAGATGTGTTTGATCCCAGCTCCCTCTCCCCAAGGGAGAAGTCTTTCACAACAACACACCAGTCAAGTGGAGAATTCCCACCTTTCCTCTTCTCTGGGAATCTTTAGCTATCAGGCAGCTGAGGGCAGGAGGGAATTGTTTCCAGTACAATGTTTTTTTCCATCTACACCTAATAACATCTTTAACTGGGTGTAATTAACTCCGAGGTGATGGAGTTGTGATTACCAGCAAGAAGCCTGTGAGAAGGATTGCGTTAATCTTTACCTCGGGAACTTCATTAACCAGGGTGCTCTGGACTGCTCTGGGATGTGCTGAACTGTCTGCAGTGGTGCTGGGGCTGTGCAGGGCCCTGGCTTGTCTGCAGGGTGTCCCCAGCAGCAGATGGGTCCAGGGATTGGTTGTGATGCCCTGTTTTGGAGGTTCAGCAGGGATGACACTGGTCCTCCCTCAGAGCTCTGGGTTTCTCCTGGTTCTGTCGGTCCATGGGTGTCACTGGAGGGGTGGGAAGGAGGGAAGACCTGTGGTTGACTTGTGGTGGCTGTGCCTTGTAGGAAGGACTCCTAAAATAACCACACCATGTGAAGTGACTGTTCAGCCCTGGAAATTGATAGTTAAGGCTTCTCCTGTTTGAGTGTGTGATGAAACCATCACAGCCTGGTTGGAGACTTCTTGGTGCTCCACCAACAGCTCTGCAGGGCTCGCTGGCAGGATACAGGTGTAAGATGAGGGGAGATTTGCCTTTGAGGTCCAGCTGATGGCCCACATGTCCCTTAACAGTGTCAGTGACTTCAGGCACTGCTGTGGTAGAAAGGACTGTCCTGTCAACACCAGGGTGTCCCAGGGCTTGGAGCAACCAAGTTAATAAATGTAAAGGTGATTGGTGAAAAAAAAACAAAAAAAGAAAACCAAACTGGTTAAATAATTTATTTGGCAATTAATTATTTTTGCTCTGTCATTCGAGGCGTTAAGAGAGGAAGAATGGTTCATTGATTAGGGCACTGCTCTGCCAAGGAGAAGCAGTTTGTGGTGTGCCCTGCCCTGGCTGTCTTGTATGAAACAGGGCAAGGAATTTAATCTCTTTATGCTCCTTGTGTTTTGAGGCTAATTATCATAAATTTAGTAGTGTTGTTCCACTCACACTTGAATATTGTTCCCATGAAGAGTTCAAGATGCAGCAGGAGCAGTGCTGACTGCAGGGAAAAGCAGAGAATATCCTGAGCTGGAAGGGACCCAAAAGGCTCAGCCTAAATAGGTGCTTTGGGTAATGATACTTAAGACACTTCCAGCCTGAATTAACTGGTTTGTGTGATGCTCCTGTGCAGGTGGAGTAGGGACAGCCAGCACTGGGAGCACAGGCTGTCCTGGGCTGTCCCAAAAGTCATAATGAGCATTAACAGCTCGAAATTATACACAGATATAACAAGTCCAACACATGCTTTCAGCAGAATGATTATCCTGAGGAATGGGCTCTTCATCTTCTCCATTTCTTGATGTCTCTCAGTCCAGCCTGGGACTGCCTTTGTGTTCATGCCTGTTTTTTGGGCTCAGTGGAGACACTGCAGGATGCTGATACTGGAAGAAATCAGAGGAGAGGCTGAGACAGGACAGATGTTCTCCCTGGCTGGAGGAAAACCATGTTAAAATAAAATTTGCAGCACTGAAACCACGGGGCTCATTAATGGTTTGGAGTTCCTGGCCACAAAAGTCCTCTGTAAGGTCCCAGACCTTTCCAAATACCAGGACTCTGCACCCTCAGAGTCCAATATGCTCAGGGTACCTGGGGGCTTCTGGCCCTGCTGGAGCCCTGCAGGCAGCTGTGAGAGGGGGAAATGTGATTCTGAATTGCAAGGAAGATGAAGCCCTTCAGGACAAAATTCTAAATTCTAGCAGGACACTTTCAGTCATTTTGGTTTTTTTTACTCTGTTGCCTGCACAGGTTGGGTAAAACTCTTCTTTTCTGCCCCCCTCCCTGAATTTTAACCCACCTGTTTCTTTGTTCCAGGTCCTGGACTCGTGAGAACTCCCAATGACTTGGCAGATGCCTGTGAATCACTGACGTTCTGCTGCCACCTCCACCCACCCGTGGCTGTCCCCTGAGTGCTCCCTCCCCGGTGTCAGCTCACAGCCTACGTGCTGAGAAGAGAAGTTAAAAAGGTAAAAGTCTGTAATCTGATCCCACAGTGACCTGTCTAATCCTGTTCCCGGGTACAGTGAGAGCTGAAATACTTGTACTGCAAAACAATGACTTGAGGAGAGGAGAGGAGGAAGATGAGAATCTGCAGGGATTTATTCTTGGTTGTTTTTGGGGTTTTTTTTTTTCCCCACTCCATTCTCTGTCTTTTCCTGACCAAAAGCTGCCAGCTGGAAGGCAGGACGAGTTTGGATCCGAGTGTGTGGGTAGCAAAGCATTGGGTCCCTCTTTGCAGGGTAGAGTTTTAGGCAGCCCAGCCTAAACCTGCATGGCTGTGGCTGCACTGGGCTGTCCTGGAGGTGAAGGGCTCAAATGTGATGGCTAAACCAGTGCTCCTACCTGTGCAGCTCCCAGGAGCTCCAAAATGTTTCCCCACTGGGATGAAAATGATGGTTTTGGTATGTTGGACTGTTTTATTTCTTTTTTCTCTTGCGCTGGGAGTGGCTGAGCTTTCTGGGCTGCTCTGGGACAGCAGCTCAGCCCTGTGCTCTGCCCTGCCTGGGTCACAGCTGCTCCCAGGCTGCTGCTGTAAGGCCAAGGCTGCTCTGTTGGTCTTTCCTTTCCCTCCAATGTGTGTTGGATCCTGGAGGTTTTTGGGATTGCCCTGTGCAGGGCCAGGAGTTGGATTTGTGGGTCCCTTCCAGCTCAGGATATTCCATGAGCTGACCTGGGCTTGCAGGTGTGGGACAAGGGCTGTGGGGCTTTCCTGTTGTTCCCTGTGCCGTGCAGAATCCTACAGGGACATTTTGGGGCATCACATGGCCCCTGCTCCTCTAGCTGGTGGTTGAGGAAAAGCTGCCCTGGACTGAGCCTCGGTGCAGGTGCCACCAAACCCACCTGCAGAAGGGTGTTTTGGGAAAGCAGCCTCTTAGGTGGAACCGGGTTTGTTTCTGGGGGTTCTGCCCTGCTGGGAACACAACAGGTGGTGTGAGCTGAGCCAGGTCTGGTCACAGGGGGAGAGAGGTGATCCCAGGAACTGCATTGCCCTCACTCCTCGAGACCTTCCCCCGTTGGGGCTCTGTTTTTCCCTGTAGCAAAGCCCCCAGCTTGCTCCTCCATGGAATGGAACCGTGTTTCCAGAGCAATTTCCAGCTGGGAACTGGGTTGTGCCGTTCCTCGAACTTAATTATTCCAAAGTATTTTGCCTGGATTGCATTATTTCCTTCCTTATTTTTTTAGGCATAGTACCCTCCAATCCATCTGCTGTTGCCAGTGCTGTTGATGCAAGTGCCACAGAGTTGTAGAAAGGGAAAGCTTGGAGAGGCATGGAATTTATCTAAGGTCAACTTCCGCGGTGCTGGTGGGGGTGACTTGGGGTGTTCTCCTGCAGAAGGAGCCCCTCTGCTGAAGGGGGAAGGCTCCTCTGGTTTGGAAGGGTGGTCTGGGGTTAGGGAGCTCTGTCTGGAGCGTGGCTCTGCTCTGTCACAGCTGCATCCAGCAGAAAACACTTCTCATGGAATTCATGCAACCGGGGCTCTGTAATGGAAAATGTGCCCCACCTTAAACGCTCTCGTGTTACTCATGAGCACAACACTGGTAATTAGGCGAGTTAAAAACCAGATTTATGGCATGTCAGTTATCACCCAGCGAGCTGGAGCGTCTGAGAGATGCATCAGAGGCCGGATGTGCTGGTTTCCCACCTGAGGTGAGGGAGGTCACTCGCCTTTCCACCAGCGCAGATCCGATGGCTCCGGCCGTGTTTAAATAGAACCTCGCTCGTGTGCAGGAACGTGGCTGACACCTCTGGGCTCCCAGGCTGTGGTGGGAAGTATCTGGTGGTTTCATCACGATTTTGTCTCCCTGGAACCTTCTAGCACCTCCTGATTGCTCCTGACATCAGAAATGTTCTCAGGCTTCGCCCCTCCGCCCTGGTCCCGACAGCACGTGGCAGTGTTTGCTCCTCGCTGCCAATCTGCAGCAAGGGCTGTGGGAACTGCTGGGATTTGCTGATTCAGCTGATTAAAAGGGAAATTTCCAGGCACCCTGTCTGTGCAGGGCAGGCAGGGAGCAGGGTTACAACACCTGGGCTCAAATCTGCAAATCATCTATAGCTCTGAGTTGCACTTCAGATCTCAGTCTTCAGTTTAGTCTCTGCCCTTAAATCTCCTGCTCAAGATGTGTCTTATTTCTCTCTTGTTTTGGAGGCTGAGGTGCCTGTGGGCTGCTGGAGCACCACATCTCCTGTGTTTTCAAGTGTTGAGAGAATTCCAAAACGTGTGAAGTTAGTGTGTGTCTGCAAACATCATTATTTGAGTGAAGGAAAAGTTAAAGCATTTGGAATCTAAAAGAGCACATGGCTTTGACTTTCTTGTTGCAAAGGAGGAAATGGTGATTTCTGGTGTTTCTAGGTGTCCATCTGGGTATGCAGAAAAGCACCAGGGAACTTGTTTGGCTTTGCCTTTTTCCATACCTGCAGTAATTCACCTGCATTCGCTCAGGCTGGCACAACCTGGACAGAGATGGGGTGGAATGAGATGTTCCTTAAGGTCCCTCCCAACCCAAACCATTCCATGATTCTGTGATCTCCTGGATCAGCCTGTCACCTCTGAGACCTGACAGCTCTGCTGTGAGCCCCCAGGCAGCAGAAGATCCTGAACACCAGGAATAAGGGTTAGGAATGTGACGTGGGTGGGCTGCTCTGAGGGGTGTGCGTGGGGGAAATGTTGTTGAATTCCTTTTCCCCTTCCAAGCTGTGTTTGTGTCCATCTCAGCTGAGTCTGTGCCCCAGCTGGGAGCAGCCAGGGGTGTCCTGCCATGCCAGGAGCTCTTGGCCCTGTGCTGACACTCAAGTACCAGTTTATTCCCTTCCTCTGGGGCAGGCAAGTGCAGGCACTTCCCAGCTGCCCATCCTGCTGCTCCCCTGGGCTCTGCTGGAAGGAAGGGCAGCGAAATTCCTGCAAAGGCCGTGCTGCTCCGGCTGGAAGCGGGACAGTAGGCGATTCCCATCCCCCTGGCCCCGCTCCCCCGGCTCCCCCGCAGCCCTGCCTTGCCCTTTTGTGGAGATTTATAGAGCCGAGTGGGCTGAGAACAAATGAGCAGACATTAAGGGGATGTGTTCTGCATACTAATGACAAGATACTGCTCCTGCACCTCGGGGCAATACTGGGTCAGGCCAGTTTAGCTGTAAACTTTATTTATGTGCTTATTACATCGGAGCTGCAGTTTGCCAGCCTGGGCCAAGGGCTCGGGGATGTGTCCGGCAATAAATTTTGTTTGTTTATTTGAAATAAGATGCCTCTTCCCCCCTACCCCCAACCCTTCCTCTCTTTCCTTCTTGGAGGGAGGGATGGAAAGAAATCCCTTCTTTGCCATCACGGATTTGTGAGTGAAGTGAGGAAGGTGGGATGAAGAGGAAGGAGAGGTGACAGACTTGTGCTGTGGGGAGCAGTTGGATTTATTTGAGCCTGGCTGGTGTAAGGAGGATTTCACCTTCCTCTGCAGGCAGCAGTGGGAGAGGAGAGGAAGGGTCTTTTCATCAAAGCCTGGGGAGACCAGGAGTCCACTTCTGGTTGTACCACTGAACCCTCTGGCCAGACACAGTCCTTTGCCTCCAGCCCCATGGGGTGCCCAGGGCTCAGCCACCCTTTTTTCCCACCTCGTTTTCACCACGGATGGGTTTTGCTGCTCGGGTTTGGTCTGGGGAGGATTTGCTCTGATCAGGGCAGAGATGGGCGGTGCTTTGTGCCCACAGCAAAGAGGTTCTAAACCCTGCCATTTTTCTGGCATCCCCTCTGGCCTCCAGCCCGTTCCCTCCTCGTGTTACATCTTGCCTCTTGGGTTTATAAGCTCTCTGTGGGCAGGGATTGTCGTTCCCTCTTGTCCTGGCTCTGAGCTGCTTTCGGCCTTGCCCCGTCACTCAAAGCAGTAAAACCCATGGGGAACGTGATGAGTCCAGAGCAGGAGCTTTGCCCCCTCCTGTAGGAGAGGCTGAGCAGAGCAGAATTAGACCCTGTGCATTTTCCAGAGCCTCCTTTGGGATGCCAAGCTTGACTGAGCCTTGCTGGGGTTGCTGTGATCTGAATGAAGGATTCCCTCTCTGAGCTGGTGCTGGGACTTTTATGTGATGAGCTCTTGCATGGATAAAGTGTTAAATCACTCCTCAGCCTGATGGCCTCTCATTCCTGGGGAGATGTGGTCACCTGGAGCTGGCTGCATCGAGGCTGCAAGTGAACTGGGTTGAGGCACAGCCCCTGGCAGGGTTAACTGGGGAGATGGGGTGGAAGAGGCTTTGCAGACCAAATCTCCTGTCTGGTGAATCCACCTCCAACACCTTGCCTTGGTGCCCAGCCCTAGGATGTGGCTCCATAGGTGATCTGCTGCCAGATGAGCCTGGCTGGGCGAACACTGAGCCCAGCAAGCTGGCAAAGACTGTCTGTGCCTTTGCACTGACAGAGACCTCAGCAGTGACCATGTTCAGCATCCAGCCCAGTCCACTCCTCACCCACGAGGGTCAGGGGTTGTGATGGGGAACTGTGTGTCCTGTAGGGAACCAGGAACTACTGCCTGGAAAAAAAAAATAAAGGAAAAATCAAAGGGAAAAAAAGAGCCACCTAAACTCCCCCAGCCCTTCTCCTTTGTGCTCCCTGGACAGAAACCTCCATCCCCACCCAGCCTTTCCTGGGTCCCTGCAGCGCCTCTGCCCGTTGCTGTGCAGGGGATGGGAGCTCTGATTGGGGTGGGCTGCACCTCCCACTCCCTGTCGCCTGGCAGGGGCTCCAGATATGTCCCCAAGGTGATGGAGCAGGGCTGGGCCGAGGCTGGAGGGCTGGTTTGTGTCCAGGGGCCCTGGCAGGAGCAGGAGCTGCTGGCTGCCAGCCTGCTCCCTCAGCCGGAGGTAACAGCCAGCCCCAAAGAGGAGATCGGCGGGGGGTGGAGGAGGGATGAAAGGAAACAACCTTCAGAAGAACATGCTCTGCTTCTATTATTATTATTATTATTATTATTATTATTGAGGGGAAAGGTA